AGATCCAGTGAGGGTAAGTCCGTGGTTCCAAAATACGGATAGCGTAGTATTGTTGGCGATACCAGCACTTGGAGATCTTGCCGGGAAAGTTTCCAGCTCTTTATTGTGTCTTGTTGAGGGCAGCAGCTTAACCGAAATGCCACGCTGAGCCTTTCCAACAACTGATCTCACCGTCTTGTGTTGAGTAACGCTATTTTTTTTTTGGGTACCTCATAGAGATGCATCGTTGATGGCCATGAGAAGGCGTATTGAAGGCTTGACACCAGAAGAAATAAGGAATCTTTCCCGAGATGAAATGCACATGCCAACAACTATGGAAGACTTTGAAATAGCTTTGAAGAAAGTTTCTAAATCTGTATCTACTGCGGACATTGAGAAGTATGAGAAATGGATAGTTGAATTTGGATCGTGCTGAGGGGTCTGATCTCGAAGAGGCCACCTTACGTCTTAACACGGCTTTAGAAGTAGTAAGTAGTGTGTCAGCGCGCTGCCAGCTCTTTTTAACTTTTGTAATTTAAAAGCAACGGATGTCTAAATAAATTTTTTTTTAAATGCAAATTCTGCCTAGCTGTCTTTGAGCTCGCTCACAAGTCGCCTGTTTTGCCCACATGTGGGAGAGACTGATGGGATCTGCTTCGATCTTCAAGACTTTAAAGTGACTGAAACGTAATACTCAAACTCTCGCATCAGAGGGTTTACTCTTGAGAAGTAGCTAATGCAACAAAAAAACCCCCACTGGCCCTGCTAAGTGAGTAAGGGATGCTGGCAACTAGGAAACGGGATGAACAAGGCACCGTTAGGTAGGTGGTTTGGCTGGCTGGTGAGACGAGAGAATTGTAGCCTTGAGCTGTTTCGAAGGTGTTAACAACAAACCCGTCCCAAGGGTGAGATTCAGCGACCCTTGCGCGAGCGGCAGTCAGTAGGGCCACCTGAAGCGTAAGCCAGCGACAGGGTGCTCGCTGGTTTGCGGGATCCGTTCAGTAACGGTGAAACACGTCCAGCCAGCGCAAACTAACGGTGCAGCCCGTGGTGAGGCAGAGTCACACGTGGAGTCTCCTTCTAAGTTGTAGGAGAAAACAGCTTCTGGCACATGGAAAAAACTTCCCGGCACTCAGACGCACGTTTTTCTTCCTTGGCCGTGTGGTACTGTAAGGTTCTCGGCTCTGGACCATAGGTGGGGTCCAGGTTTACACAACACGTTTATTCTCTAAGGCTGTTCTGAGATGGCGGCATGCGTGTGATGTCCGTGCTCCGTTGGTTTCCGTTTGTAGCCCTGACCTGACGGCTGACGCAGAAAGGGAATTTGGACAAGTGGAATGGAGAAGCGGTCCTCCGAGAATGACCTAAATGGTCACTCTAGAACCATAGTTCTAGATGCTGCTCAACAGCAGTTATTGTAACGAAAACATCTGTCCTCTCTGTCCATCTCCTGTCGTTTTTGGAAATGCTTCTTCCTGCTGGTTTGTCTCAGAGCAGCCGGCTGGGGCTGTGCTTACAGCTGAGCCTGGTGCTTCTTTGCGAGTGAAATACGTCTGCGCTTGTTCCAGCTGGCAGGTGGGTGCTGTGGGATTCCTGCTCGTGTGGCCCTTTGGGTGCTGTAAGGCAGACAGAAAGGTCAGACCGTGATGAAAAGGAAAAGCGGTAGCCTGAGGAGAAGGGAAAGGGTTATCTAAATGCTGTTATCGTGAACGTCTTGTTAATGTACTTAAAATTCTCCACTGTGTCATGACGGGCAGCTGGGCTCACTGGAAAGGGACTTGTGCAGCCCCGATGGTGAGAGGCTCTGGTAAGACACGGAGCTGCAGACATGGTTGAGAGCCTCCGAATCCCTGGGTGGCCCTGGCATGCTGAACCCGGGAGTGAAGGGAAAGACGTTCAGGTGAGTACAGGAGTGTTTGTAGACTTTCACCTCCAAAAGGGAAAACGTGTGTACCCCTTTCCTTTCCAAAGGAGAGCATCCTGTGCCCGAGTGAGGACACGGGTGCAGCGCTTCGAAGAGGTGGTTCTCTTCAGGCCTGTCTGCCTGTCAGGCGGAGTGCGCAGCTGTCGGCTGTGCTGCGGGAGGAGGCCTCTCCTGAACGAACTTGTTGCCAGCCAGCCAAAACATCCAGTCACCTGAGTCAGAGGGGCAGCACGCAAGTTCTAGGCCTGGGAAGCAGCCCCGTAAGGGGCCACTTAAACTGCAAGCGTGACCTGTTTTGAGGAGTGTGACAGTGAACCTCAGTTTAACCGCAGCGGTTTAGTGCTACGGCTCAACCGGCCCCGCTTGCTCTAGGCAACCGCCACCTCGGTAACACCTGGTAGGTGGAGGGGGAAAAATGCGATGGAGGGGGAGAAAAAGGTGGCAGATGCTGAACGTGTAGCTCAGAGGTTTGTTTTTTGTGTTCCAAAACCTGATGATACCTACCCCCTCCGCTGGAGCTCCTGTGTGGAAGGAGGGGCCAGCGCTGGTCAACTCCCCGTGTTTCGAAGGCAGAGTCCGAGGACAAGACAGGGCAGGGGGATGCGGAGAGCGCCACGGTTCGTGAGGGGGTAAGAGATGTTGCCTTCCTGAACCTACTGCCCAATGGCGGAGTGGGTTTCGGGGGGTGGGGTGGTGTTTGGTTTTGGTTCTGCAGGGTAGGAGGGTGCAGCGTTGGTTTTTCCCCCAGCTGAGAACCTGTACCCTTGTCGCTCAGGTTCTGGGCAAAGGAGAGCTTCCACGACCGCCCTGCGCACCAGCTGCCCCTTCTGAACCGTGTCAGCTGCAGCAGGGAGTTCTCGGAGCATGCAGCACTCCTGAACAGCCCGAGACTCTCGTGACTCAGGAAAACCAGGGGCGTGTGGAAGCACAGCGCTAGTGCCCTGGCGTTTTACGATGTGGTCGCTCTGGCTCCACAGCACCGCAGTCTGGTAATGTATTCAGGATTTGCACTATTTTTTATTTAGCTTTGTTAACCGGACGGTAGCATTTCCTCCCTTGCGCTGCATAACTTCACGGAGCGCAGTGCAGGAGAAAGGAGGATTGCTTGGCTCGTGGAAATCAGCCAGGTCGTGAAGCAGTACTGAGGCTTTTTCAGGTTTAACCACTCATGTGTGCTGCAGCTGTTGAGAAGGGAGTTAAATCTCCCTGTTGCTGTGCAGGTGCTTGGTTTACAGTTTCCTAAGCAGGGATGTGAAGGGCACACACTAACAGCTGCCCGATTCCCATCTGCACTGCAGTTCATCCTGTGCTTGTGCAGCAGGGAAGAACCATCCTGTATCGTGTCCGTCCTATGCTTTGCTCAGGCTTCTTCTGCCGGGCAGCTGAACTTGAGCCTTGCATGACACTTCTCTCTGAACTGTGCTAATGAAGGGGCTACGACTGATTGAAGCCTTGCTTCACCAGGGCCTCTTGTCTGGGCAGTCACCGTTCCACGTGCTGGAGTCTCAGCGGTTCCTTGTTTTGCCATGGACACCCCTGCCCCATCTCGGCTGTGCTGCTGTCTGCTCGTGGCACGCTCCGGGGAAAGCGCTGCTCGGGGCTGTCAGTCGCTGCCGCTCCTTCTCCGTCAGCGGAGTCGCCACCGTGCCCGTGCGTTTCCCTCCACGCTGGCCTGAAGCACCCGGCCAGCTGGGACACAGCCCCCCCTTCTGCCATCCTTCCTTGGCTGGGACCTGGCAGATGACTGGGATCCTACGCTCCAGTGACACTGAGCTTGAAGTAAAAGCCAAGTACAAACTCAGGAGTGTTTGGAACAAAAAAATCAAGGTAAAAACCAAGAGGTTTGAGCAGCGTCTCAGGTACCTGCTGCTGTACCCCGCGCTGCTGGGCGGTGGCTTTCGGTTTGGTTTTTTCCTAGGGCAGTACAGGGTGAGGAATGTTTCTTCTACCGCTGCAGCACTCTCCGTTCATCGAGGCAACTCCAGAGCTTTTCCCGTCGCAGACCAGCTGTACGGACACGTGTCTGAGCGACTCGCATCTCCTTCAGCTTACGCTGACCTTCCCTCAAGGTGCGCGTGTCAGAAATCCTAGCTGTCTCCCCTCACCACCCCAACATAAGCTGAGCACTCCCGTGGTAACGGTGCTCTGTGCAATGCCAGGGAGCTAAGATTCCATTTTTTTTCCCCCTACTCCTTCTTTTGACAAAGAATTTTTGTAAGTAAGAACAATGAAAAGGCGAAAGCCAAAGCGTACCCGGCATCTCCCGCGTCTGGCCCACTGCTGCTTTGCCCGCCCAGCTCCAGATGCACCCATGAACACAGTCTAAGGAACCGTTTAACTGTTTATTCGAAAGACGACAACAGTACAAATCCGCATGGGCAGACGGGCCCTGCTTAACAGTAAGCCAGGACTGCTGTAGCCTTTTCTTTGGAGACTCCACCTAGCGCTCTTGTGACAGATACACAAAGCACGTCGGTTACAAGTGCTCACAGTTGTTATGAGTGGAAGGGGCCGTAAAAGCGTAAAGTGCTCGAAATACAATTTTTGTTTTGTGGATAAAAAAATGTCAAATTACTTGAGTAACACAATTGCTCGGGGTAGCGATATTTTCCCTCACAAGGCACACTCAGCCCTAAGGGACCTGAGAGCAGGCTTTGTTTAGGCTTGCAGGCACAGCTGATGTCTGTGACCCTCCTTTGTCCTTTCCTGAAGAATGCTAGCTGGAGACTTCAGGACACCCCGGATTTCACCACCTCGCTATTCAGGACAGCTTACCTGGGTTACCTACGGGCACGAAGGCAGCCAGCGTCCTGTCCCAGGCATAGAAAAGTGACTTCACAGAAGTTAAGACCAACGGCAGCTCTCGGGGTGGAAAGCTGGTTTATTCTGAAGCTTCTGAAAAGGCTGGCTGTTTACAGAGAGGCTCAGGGGAGGCAGCTTTGGGCCTCAGCCTGGGAGTCCCTTTACCAACTGACTTGGTTTTCTTAGTAGGAAACAAACCAGGTATTAAGATCAAGTGCCAAATTTCAGGTCAACTAAAAATTTGTTCTTAAAACCAAACCCACAAAAACCCAGTAACTCCAAAGTAAACGCAGCATTAAGTACACGCTTTCTCATCTAAATTATTTTTCCTGTCTGGAAGATCTGAAGGCAAGCTGATGGTAATCGCAGGTACAAAGCTGACTGGATCCAGGAGAAGGATGCCTCTGAAAAGTAAGATTACCTGGCATTAGCAAGTGATACACAACACAACTTTCTGTCCTAAAAATTAGATTTATTCTTAAACTCCCCAGGTCTGGTTTAAATCAACGCATCAAGTAAGCATTACACTCCTAATGCTTCTTTTACGAAGCCAGAACGAAAGCTTGGTGGAAAACTGGTTCCAAAACGTACTAGCTGTGGTTTCAGACCCAGTTCCTACACCTGAACTATCAGCAGCGCAGGCTCTATACGCTCAGTTTCACAGTAGCCTGGAACCGTCCGCCGCCCAGAGCTCCTCTGTCAGGCTCTTGCCCCCAATTCTCCGCGGCTAGCTAACGCCTCTAGCTCTGTCCGGGTCCTGTAGAACAGCAGTGAAGACTGGGGGCAACAGCCCGACTCGTATCTGCTGCGGTGTCATCCGCCAGCTGAGACGACCTGCTCACTGCTGCTGTTTAGAACTAAACCTTTAGCCCTCTCTTTATACAGGTAGCGACTTGTGTGGGTTTGGTCTTTGTGTTTTAAAGGCAGGGAGGACCATCCTCCCCGAGTTACAGATCCTTGAAATGCTCTGACAAGCCATGCACAAGCCCCACGCTCTCCAGTGGGAAGAGAAACTACTACGGGCTGGTTCCTCCGCTCTGCGCTGAGCTCTGCCACTGACAGGCCTCACACCTCTCTGGGATTAGTTTCCTCCCTAGTTCCAAGTTCCACGTGTGGCACTGTTGCACCAGTTACTGCTGGGGGTGGGTACCCAGCGCTTCGTCCCTTTTTTGGCTCCAGTTAGTTACAAGAAGCGCTCCAGACTGACAGCACACAGTGTGAAATGTCACGGGGAGCATGGTCTCTTGTCACTGCGGTTTCCAACCTCTGGGGGTTGGGTCTCCCAGAACGCACTTGGGTTGCTTTAAAACATGCATGCTTGCCCATTCCAGCACTAAATCTATCCGGGTTTCCTCGCTGTAGTTACTAACTCATCTTTCCACCACTTGTTTTGAGAGCTCGTTCTCTGAAAGCTGCTAGTGTTGCTGATAACACTCCGCGTGAGTAAAGCCACCTGCAGACAATCACCTTGAGCTGCCACCTCGTGCCACCCAAGCCAGCACCGACAGCTTGTAAGCGGCTTGTAAGCTGCCTGCAGTGGTAGCGCCTCCTTGCAGAGTTCCCATACAAATTCAAAGCCAAATCTGAGGCCTGTCATAACAACTCCAACACAGGAGGAGTGTGAAAAGATTTAGAGTTGTTGGAATTGTTTAGCTTCTACCCTCCTCTCTCAGAGCTACGTTAGCGGTGTCACACAACGTAGTCCTTAGGAGAGTTGGTAAAAATATGTAAAGATATTTCCAGTGAACGACTTGCCCATATTTCTCTGAACTGTCTGTGTGTCAAAAGGTCACTTGGAATGGAAAGTTACTGGCAGCCTTTCCACTGAATAGTTGCCGTTGTCTTCCTACAGAACAGGGCTGCTTCTTGAAAGATTTTTTTTTTTAGTTAATGTTTTGTCTTTATCAGAGAAAAAAAAAGTAGCAAGAATGACTTACTTGTTTTCGCAGGAAGGGAAAATCACCTTTAAGACTTTGAGAATAAGAGCTGCTCCAACAACTCCAACTACGACAACTTCCATCAAGCTGAAGAAGATGGGTAAAGATCGAAACCAGAATCTGCACAATCCTTTCCTCAAGTCTTCCACCCACTGGCACATCACCTGCGACCAGACAGGTAAAAATAAGAGGATGGGTTGCAAAACGTAGCGAGTGCAGCTTTTGTAGCTACTGGTAAATCACATGGCGTGGCGACAGCTCTACTTAGTATGCTTAAATACACATAAAAGCAGGATGGAATCGACTGGTGGTTAGTTATCTGCTCATCTGAGCAGAGTTCCCTGGAAGGAAAGGCTATGCTGGAAAATAGAGGGCTCTTGAACAGAGCGGGTGAAGGGTGAGCTCGTTGGCCGAGGCGTAGAGAAGCTAGGACAGCATGGCAGCCTTCTGCAGGGAAAGGGTTACGGACCGCCCAGGAGAGGGGTAGCACCTTCTCTAGCCCATCTGTGACTTTCAGCTTCCTACCTGGGCCCTCCTGTCTCAGCAGTGGGTTATAAAGTGTTTCTTCCAGCCAGAGAGGAGCCCATCCTTACCGAAGCTGGAACTGAAACTTGGCCAGCGGTTACAGGAGAGACCAAGGGCTGGTCTCCTAGAGGGATAAGCACTCCAGCTGAGTCAGAAACACTCCCACAATTTAAAGCTAAACAACATTTGAAATTGTCATAAATGCTTAACTTGGTATACTGTAAATGCCACAACTCCTGAAGCGTCCGTGAGGTCAGAACACGGCAGGATTTAGAAACCCATTTGATTCCTACTGAAGTGAAAAAACCCAACAACTCCTCACTGCTAAGGGGTAGTTCAGAAAGTGGGGTTTTCTTGTTTCCTCGAGTACGTCTGTACAAGTTTGTTCTTCTCGGTGCTTGGCTGGGGGGGTTTCTTACACTTCTGCGGAAGTCAGGTACTGTCAGACACCTCATGCAGTGGAAAACCTGGCTCTTTAACAGGTACAGAGCAGCAAACAGTATTCTGAGAAGTCAGCACTAGGTTAAGTAGGAATGGCAATTCTCCCTTCCAGAAATGAGCTATTACATACTGCGTTGCTTCATTTCACATTAAAAATAAAGGACCAAAGACAAAGGCCTAGGAATGTTACACACTCCTTACCATCTTTAAACAGATGTCATGTTTGGTCTCTACATGAGGAAAACCCACCATCTGAGCCCTGACAATGCTGGGTTGGGTTGGTTTGTTCTGTAAATACCCACAATGGAGGAAAACATAATATTTGTATGTTTTCCTGTAGACGATACTAAAAACGTGGAAGGAAGCTTATTCCCTCAACTGTAATACTGAACGACATTCCGCTCTACTGGCAACATGTTACTACAACTTTTCCTCCTAGAAATGCCACCAAGCTGTATGCATTTCATATCTGGGGAAACGGGGAAAAAAACGCTTCTCCTTTTTAGACCAGTCTTTAAAGATATATGCTAATAATCCAAACAAACAAACAACAAAACTACCTTGTAAGAAGATGGAGGTTCTATCCTAAGAGGGGTCTCTGGTAACTTGCCAGGTAACGTCTCTTCATCGACTGTAGTTTCTGCTTGCCAGATGAGGTACTGACTGGTAGTCTGCAGTGGATCTTGAATGTCTGAAGAAGAAAAGCTAGATTTAGTGGGGAGCTTGCTTTTTCTTTGACTATTCAGGAAAACAAAGACATGCTACATTTCATACAGTCACAGAATGGTTTGGG